TTTCGGACTAGGTGCGTTCTACTAAGTCGCCCTGACAACGAGACCAAGTTGCGACAACGAGGTCAACCCACTTCTATTTTCCGACGTAGTTTCATAATCTTACCTCAATGTACTGGCGAGGCATTATTTTTTAGAAATTATTAACGATAATCTGTAGGACAGGGTTTTTGATTAACTTGCATTAAAACTCGATTTTAACCTTGCATGGTTTCAACTCAGTTATCCTTGCCTATTAACTTGGCTAATATCTTCTTCATAGTTTTTGCATATTTGTTGCACCTAAACCACATCTACCTTTTTTATTGCGCTTTTGCTCAGATGTTATAAAATTATTTTTACATCATCCACCTTGCGATATTAGTACCATTTGTATGGCTTGGCTAATATGACTTGATTATACTTCTTATAAATTAATCCTGGGACTGGAAGAATGAGACAGCTGTGTGTATTGCTTACAGAGTTTTAGCTCCGGGGATTTAGGAAATGGGAAAGGGGTAAACTTATAAATTTTATTATACTTTTACTTATTTAAAGTTTCGAACTCATTTCAAAACATTTGTAAAATTATAATGAGTTGGTGTTCATTTTATCTCGTTTTCGCTATTTGATATTAAGGGAAGCGATATTTCATTGAATTTACCCACTCCTGTGTCCAAAGTTTATTCATGATAATTTACAATATCGCACCGTCACATGGTATACTCCAAGGCGTTTTTCGAGGTTCGTCAGTAAGAGGCGTCATCCTGAGATATTTTCGAATTTAATTGATAAATTATGGCCTTGAGCCGCCCTCTATTGAGCTTAACTAATACTATGATTGACCAATGGCTGGTAATAATCTCACACTGTAGACTCGTTATTTACTTGGTGTTTCGGACCCTTGTTATTTGTTTTATCTCCCTTCTACATTTTACCACTTTTCATTAGCCTAATTCCAATCTGCTTTTTTATCGTATAATTTGGTGGCGATGCCTTTAATAACAAATTATAAACGCATTTGGATTT